CCCCCCCCCCCCATGAGGCCTTGGACATCGACCCGGACCGCTCCAAACGACATGGACGCGGTGGGGGCAGCGATTTGGGGCGTCCTTCTTTCGAACGCGGAGCAAGTTGGGCCAGGAATGGTTTGTCAACAAAGTCGGCACCTGTGGAATGGCCAACGCTCAGCTGTACTGGGGTCGGATGGCGGCTTTGCTGCTAAGGCTCCTCTACTCCCTCTTTCCGTCTATCGACTGGCAGTTTGTCTTTGTTGATGACTTCCTTTGGCTCCTCAGACTCAGGGAATCGGGGTTCTGGGGACCGCTAGTCTCCTCACCCTGCTTGCTTTGAGTAAGAGTCAGGAAAGTACCCGCCTATCGAAAAAGGTTAGACTCTGCCTAGGGGGTCTCCTGGGTGGGATAGGGGCCTATACATAGGGGGCTATGGCTTGGGGATAGACCCCTATGACGGGCACAGACCCCTATCCTTTTCCGATAGAGGTTTATATGATCGGGTGTTCTTTTTGGGGTTGGGCCCAAGTGACGCGATGGCCTCCGATACAGAAGCATACATCGCAGGCTGGTTGTCCATGGACTCCTGTCTGGACAAGTCGTCCATCTTCTGGTTCCACTACAAGGTCATTCGTCCACGTGTCTCCGAAACGCCGCATCGCGGCCATAGAGATGCTTGGAACACTGGTCTTTACGGCTTTCCTCGTTGAAAAGAATGACCGGGACAAGCGCCTGCCCATCGTTCCCCTCCTCTCGGACAACCAGGGAAACGTTTACTCCCTCCTTGCCTTCGGCGGCCGTCCTGATGGAGCTTATGCTCCCACTACACCGCAAAGGCTGCACCCTGGCACCGTCTCACGCGAAGCGGTGAAGCGGGACTTCAACCAATGGGCTGACGAACTTACGCATCCGGACTGCCAGGGCTTCTTGCCTCGTCTCCATGTTAGTCGCCTTGAAAGGCTTTCACCTTCTTTCGTTAGTGCTGGAATCCGATTCCAAGTAGCTTCTCACCTACAGCCCGAGTGGTGCGCGGTGAGGCCGAGAGTTCCCCCACTCGCTCGTTACGATACGGGACTTTTCTCTCGCCAGACATCAATGCCACACCATTTCCTACTTAGACCTCCTGGAGGGTCCTGAGGCTTTGGGAGCCTTTAGCCCCGACTCACTCGGGGGACCATCTCGGATTGCCACCTTCACACTTCTGCTCGCAGTGAAAAGAGGGAAGTGCAGGTGGTTACTCTCGGGTTCCGTTGTGCTCGTGTTTTGCTGGCATGTTAATGGAATCGGAATGCATGGATTTAGGGCCTGCAGCACGCGAGAGTATTCGCGGTCATCCTGCGCATCGTTTGTCGTTGCTTCCGCCGTGCTGCAGACTGAAGGCTTTGTACCAACAAACTACCGAGCTGGAGTTGCAGAGGAAGCACGGCACTCAGATGCGTTGCTCCTGGCGAACTTCGAGCCCGTACTTATGCCCTCTTGCACTTTGTGCATGCGTCCTGCTAGGTCCTCACCGATTATGGCGGAAGGGTGCTTTAGCTGCAGATTTGAATGCCCCGGCTGCAGAATGCAAGTACTCCGCAACATGCTGGTGTTGTTGTCACCAACTTGAGGCGAGCCGCTGCCAACTCTGTGGCGCCAGGTGCGGGCGGTCAGGGCTTTGGCACCGGATGCGCCCTATGCCTGCATGGTCTTCAGTAAATCCACGAGCCAATTTTCATGGAGCACTTGGCAGGTGGCAGCACCTACCACTTCAGCAATTCACAGGATGCATCTGCCCGCACATCGCTTGCCGATTTGGCTTTCACTTCTCACAGCCAACCAGAGGCTGGTGGGACCTATGTGGAACAGTGGTTGCAGATTCCGGTGTCAGCAACACCTTCCAGGCGATTCCATTGCAGAGTGGCCAATCTCAGGCCACCAACGAGAGCGCTGCTTGGCTGGACCCAAAACACTTCCCGTTACCATGCCGGGCTGCGTTGCCATGCTTCGACAGAAACGTGTCCGGAAGGGAAGCACATCGACGGCTAGCGCCAAGAGAAGCACGCCAGCAATGATGATCCCACGCAATTGGCCGCATTCTCAATTATGCCAGAGGTAAGCCTTGCTTAGTTTCAACAACACCTGCCTCCCAGTTACTGGGGAGCATAGGGGTTTGAAGGCAGCCTCGGGTCTTGTCATCTCCACCCAGGAAAACAGTCATTTGAGATCTGGTCCGAATGGGCACCAGGGGTTCTGGGTGAGTTCTTGTAATTCGTTGAGGAGGGGCGTAAACATCCGTGTTTTGGACTGGAGTAGAGTAGATATGGCGCCGGGGCCAAGGGGACTCGTGAAATTTAGGAAGGGCTTGGACGAGTTGAACAGGTTTTGCAATTATGCGGCGTGTGGTAATTCGACGGAACAAACGAGGAGGAAAGCAAAACGGGTGATCAAGAGAAGAGACACTATGAAGGGGATCGGATTGTAGTAGATGAGTAGATGCCTTCGAAGACATGCCGTGCTTTTGACATTTACATCGACGACAGACGCCAGTGCGTTCAGAAATGGGACTTGAGGTGTCTGTGTGGTGGTGTTTTCAAGTTCAATTAATCAGATTTCTTGCGGGCTTTGATCCCTATTGCTACGAGCAGACAGACGCAGGAGTTGCGAAAATGTGCAGGTAAGCCACAGAAATCAGTGCGATGTGAGGGTTTGAGCAAAACACAAGCAAGAGCTAAAACAGTGCCACGGCTTGAGAGCTGTCAAGGTCTAATAACGATCTGGGAGAGACCCCATCTACGCCAGCTTTGCAGGCTGGTGCTGTGACTCAGCTTAAGGAGATCTGCTGGAAAGGCAAATTGATGATGCAGGTCGCCTTGTGGGTGCCAAGCTTCTTGATGCTCCTGCATCGGAATTGGCTCGGTGCTAGGCTCTGGTCCAGGCGCAGTCATCGTAGCGTAGCCGCGCAGCCCTCTTCCCACGCTACAGCCATGGCGCGGCAGCGCACAGTCCTCGCCCTGGCTATGGCCTTGGCAGCTCTCTGCTATTCGGTGGGCTTTGTGGGCCAGGGCATGCAGCCCACGGGGCGCGTCCCACAGACCGCCGCACGTGCAGAGGCCAAGAAGGCACCCAAGAAGAAAGCCAAGGCACAGGGAATCCGAAACCGTCTTCCCTTCTGTGACCAGCTCAGTTGGCTTTCTTGCTCTTCCATGACCCTGCCAGGGACCCTGGGTGGGCCCGAAGAAGGGCTCCTGGGTGAAGATTTTGCGACCAGAGTCTTACTGGTTCCAGCAGCGTGGTCAGGTTGTGCATCTTGGCTTTTTTGCACAATCATTCGTTGGCTTCAGTCGCCATGCTCCGGTCCAGTCCTGTGGATGGTGCCAGCTCAGGAACGTGAATCAAAAGCCCGAAGTGAAGTACCCGGTGACAGTGAAGTTTGACTCGGTGAACTATGCCAACGTCAATACAAACGGCTATGCGCTCTGGGAGGCAGCCTTATCAGGGAGCGAAGAACAGCGAAGCCCCAGTGTTGACGTTGTGTAGACCGCATAGGCACAGAATCGCACAGAAATGGGATGCACAAGCTGTAAGGTGATCGAAGCTCCGGCTCCTGGCCCGGGAGAGGTCTAAGCATTCGCGGCTGTCCTACTTCCGCCCATGCACTCGATTGCTGAAAGAGATTGTGCGGGCATGGGCTCATGATGCATATCGCAAGCCATAATGCTGCAGCATGAAATCTTCCTCAATCGGGCAGATGCAACGTCTCAAGTGCCCCATTCGGCCCATGCCTGCCTTCGACTTGCGTAATGCCGGCGATGTGCAGCTTGATGCTGCCTGCGACCTGCTTACGAGAATGACTTTGAAGCATCGGTACGACACAAAAAGTTTGCTGAATCTTAGCGCCGGCATCAGCGCGCGAGCTCATGTCCTGCACAGACGTGACGCCCAGCAAATGATGTGGCAGAGGCAATCGTCTCAGAGTTTCCCATGCTGTCGTTTTTGAAGTCTGACGCCACGGAAGAGAGCCAAAAAGCACAGTCAAAAGGTCGCCGGACATCCTGACATGGCAACAGCTAGGAGGCTGTGGATGAAACGAAGTGTCAGCTGAGGCGACTTTCTGTGGCGGTGGCTTCATGGGGCAACGGATTACCAGCCCTTCCGGGACCTCCATGGGCTCCTTCGTCCGCAACATCATGCGTTTGGAAGCTGCCCAGAAAGGGTCCCGCTAAGGCCAAGCGACTCCCATGCAGTACGGTGTCGTCAACGGGCCTGTGGGCTCTGACCGCCGAAGCTCCAGCGAGAGTGCCTGAAATCTGCAACTGGCAGGCAGAACTTACAGCTGGTTGAACGGGAACAGACGGTGACTGTTGACATCGTCTTGTCGTGGAGAAAGTCGGTTTCAGGAGGATGACAACACGCATCACGAACTTGCTGGTCGCTGCTGGCCATCTTGCTTTGCATGTGGCTCCAAGGCGGCAACACCGCATCCTTCACGGAAACCTCGGGCCGCCGATTTTCACCATCTTCACCGAACGGCCATGTTGCCAGTGCTTTGTTTGAAATGAGCACGGACAAGCATGGTGTTGACGAGTTGGGACATAAGGAAAGCCTACAGACAGTCCCCACCTCAGACATTGACCTTGTGCCATCGCATGCCTGTACCTTTGGCTTGAAATCTACCTTTTGAATCTGTAGCACGCAGGTGCGGAAGGTGGATTCGTCTTCTCCATGTACGAAGAAAACGACCTGATCTCCCCTCAGGCAGTTCCTGATTCTTCGTCTCCCTCTCTGTTAGTTGGATGTGGCTTATCCTTAGGCTCATTACCTGTTGCAGAACAACCCGCTGCTTTTTTGCTGCGTAGGTTTCTCGCATCCATGGGCGGACAATTCCGGAGGAAAAGCAAAGTGGCTTTGGCTGCATTGTCCAGGGCAAGGGTTGGATGGAGCCGAGCTTTGCAGTTCATGCTGCGGTTGCAAGTTGTATGAACCTCTTCCCCTGCCATGCGGCTTGCGTTATGAGGAGGCTCTCCATGCAACAAGCTTGAACGCAGAGACTAAGGCAGTTTTGACTTGGATGGTGGCAAGGTCAGGAATGGAAGCAAGGAAGCCACTTGGGAACCAGGACGGTGCGACATGCAGCTACTGCAAGTGCCATGGGCTTCCACGGTCTGGTTACTTAGTTTTAACATCTCAGCGTTCGGCCTGGGTTTAGTTGATAAATGGCAGGATCTGCACAGTCACAGACCTTGCCGGGAGGAAGGCGCATCTCCGAGGACAGCCACAGGGAACTCCTGGAGGATTTAGATTGGGGTGCCTTCGTCTATGGGGAAGGGGCAGGGCCCACAGGTCGTGATGAGGGCTTCACAGGTGAATTCATCTATTGGGGAAGGGGCGGGGCCCACATGGCGTGATCAGTGCTTCCCAGTTGAAAGGTGACAGACGCGCTCACATAGCATTCAGCACTGTTTTTGTCGGCGGGAGATTCAAGCACAAGGGTATCGATTGTGATAAGGTCGCTGCCTGAGCTTGCCCAGTCTGCGTGTCCAGGATCCCGTGGCACCGCTGCCGCCTGCAGCATCAAAGGCTAGCAAGCGACCGCAGACCATTCGGAAGTCTCCACTTCTTTGGACAGAGGACACGCCGGCGCCTTTGCATGTGCGGTTGCGGTCGCAAGGCAAGAGTCAGTTGGCGAGACTCATTACCGTGGCTGTGTCGAATCTGGAATCATGGCTTGAAGCTGCATGGTATCTTTGGGGCCGAATCATAAGTGCCGGTACACTATTGTATCCCTTTACCTTCATGTGTGCCTGCCTCTTCCATATGGCCATTTCCGAGTGACACCTTTGTTGTCCAGCGGCATCCCTTTGCACAGCTGTTTGTAGAATCGAAGCTACTTCAGCCTGCGGAAGACCAGACTTCGCAAGCTTCCCGTGCATATGTGCTGTGGGGCAGGACGAGCTGGCAGCGTTCTTGCCTCGGAAGTGCACTGCTTCGGCTTTCTGTGCAGGGCGGTTTGAAGATTCAGCAACGAAGTCTCGAATTCAGGGGTGCGGCAGCCTTTACATGTTGAAACCTTCCTCCGAGGTTCATGGGATGTTTGGGTCTCAGCACAGACATCTGCCAGCGCGTCATGGGCCGCAAAATCAAGGGCGCCTCTCAGTGCCTCGCCTGCGCATGAGATGCTGCGGGAATCTTCTTCGCCTACTTCCAACTCTGCAAAAACACGCTACTGCAATTTTCATGCCCACTGTGCAGTCCAGCTGTCACTATGGTTGTTCTCCACGGCGAACCCGCGGAAGCTCTTGCTGTAAGCGCACACGGTGTTTCTTAGTCCGCACTGAGGCTGCTCAGCATGACAGATGCACAGCTGCGGAAGTACTTGGGACTGGTGACGCCGGTAGAACGCCTGGTCGTCCGCCATGCGCTCAAACGAGCCTCGGCTGTGTTTGACCCGACTTCAGCGGCAAACCACATTTCTTCAACTTAATTAGCTTAATTGGCTCTGCAGCAGTGTGGTCCTCGATTGTTCCCCCATCAACATTCAGGTCTTCTAGATGCTGCCCGGTGGGAGAACAACGTGTGCGGTCACAAGGGCATGGACATCCTCAGCACTCGGGCTGCAGGTATCGCTGGGTCAGGCCTTCTCGCGAAATTGACACACGGTGCATAGTTCCTTGCGAGACACTGAGGTGATTCTGTCCTCAGTCATTACATTGTACCGTGTGGCACTGAGAGAGAGCCAGACGCGTCGAGTCTTTGCCGAAAATCAACCAACACATTCGCGCGGCCCGTCTGCCTGCCCAGGAAAGAGGAGCTGACACTAGTTTCGAGGATCTCGCAGGGTGGCTACGGAACAGTCTACCGTGGTGTTCTGGACGCTTGATCGAACTTCCAATGTATTTCAAGTCTGTGAAAGAAACCGCCTGCGGTTCATGCCTTGCTCGTTGCGTTCAGTCCGGTTGCTTCCCGCTCAGCAACTCCACTCTGCAGCTTTGGCCGAGGAACCCAAAGTGGACCGGGCTGGCGGCACCTTTCAGGCAAAGCATATTCTGGCGGTTGAATGTATGGCCTTTTAGATCCCATGCTCCGCCAGGCACGACGAACACATCTCGTGGCAGTCAAGGAACCTTGACCCTGTTAATGTCGGGGCTTCGAGCATCTCGAAGCTCCGGGAGCAGCGTTCTTGTTTGATGCAGCGCAGCTTCGTGGATATGCCCGTTGGCGAGGACATGAAGGGAGAGCGTCGGGTCCAGCTGTACGAGCTATTGAAAGAGGCCTGCGTCCGAAACCCAGGCTGTGGGATGTCAGTGTAGATGCAATGGCCGCACGGGGTACAGCATGACCCGCCCATGGAAATGAGGTCATGGCGTCCTTGAGCCATCCCAACATTTGCACGTTTGTGGGTGTCAGTATGGACCCGGAGAAGAAGCAGCTTCGCAGCAAGGGCAGGCGCCATGTTGAAGTCTCGACATTGTTGATGCGGGGTGGTGCTTCGCACGCTGTGCTGGGCAACTAAGGAGACACTACATCATTTCTGAGCTAATGGATTGTTTCCTGCCGGCATGTTCATCCTTGGTGAGGCTCTTGCGCGACACAGCCCGTCTCTCCTGGTTACGAGCTGAGGTTCGCTTTTCGACATGATTCACCAGCACCTGGTCAGCAGGAATTCTTTGGGCTTATCTATTGCTTGTTGCAACCACGATGCGTCGAGGCCGTACAAACTGCGCTGGCATGGAGAGTTGACCGTGGCGCTGTCCCTGAGCCTGGGGAGCCTGCAGCTGCACCGAAATGAAAGGGACTAGACCTCAAGCTACTCCCAGACCCGCTTTTTTCCGCTCTTGCTTGTCCTATAGTCTTACCGGCCTGTTTTGACGGGCAAGTGCCGACTGGTGAGACCTTCGAAAGTTTGTTTGTCAACGCAAGGACGGGCATCATCTCAGGACAGTGGCGGATTTGTGTTTATCTTGATATGTACAGTTTCAGAGCTTCTCTTCCCGCGACACTGCACGCGGTAGTGGAGGAATCTGTTACATCCATCAGAAGAACCTTGTCCACGCTGACCTGAAGTCCTCCAACATTCTGATTGATTATACCTCGCTCGGTTCTTAGTGACTTTAACATCGCGGTAGCCTTGCTCCCTGTTTTTTTGGCCTGGCCACTGGAGCATTGCTGTGGCTGAGGTCCTCGCGGCACCCAGTTCCTCGCATCTGCGACTTCGGCCATGCAGCAGTGGCGCCGTTGGCACGAAGCCGACTTCAAGTTTTGTCAGGGCTTGTCGGCTCCGTTCGCTCAGGTGCGGTGCCACCCGTCGCCGCACCACCGTTGCGGCACGCCCCACTGGGCCAGCCCCGAGGTGCTGCGCGGGGAGGCGCTCGGCCCGGCTGCAGCCGTCCGGCCGCAAACCAGTGCTTCGAAGAAGAGGGTGCTGCCGACGTGCAGTATGTGCTGTTCCCTCGTTACGTGGCTCAGGATATCTACTCCTTCGGGGTGCCCGGCCTCAGCTCTTTCTCCGAAGTGTGCAAGAAGGAGTCAGGATAGAGCAGGCAGGAAGAGTCTTGCTGTTTATGATCGGTGCACAAACTGGTCAAGGTGATGCTGTGGGCCTCTTGGCTGCAAATCAAAGCTGCAACAAGACAAGGTGTTTTGTCTATGTCATCGCAAAACAGCGGGAAGCCTGCCAACTTGGCATCACTGCTGGGTTCCACTTCGGGTTAAGACACCGCTTTCTGAGGAGATGCTGACACAAAAGCTTCCACACAAGGACATGAGCTTTGGCCAGGTCTTGGCGTCGGTAGGCGCGTTCTTGTTGAGAGTGGGTGCACTCTCTGCCTTCGGACATAGCTGTATCGCACCACTTGAACAGTCTTTGAGTTTACAGCTTTGGCAGCACTCCTGCAGCATGCAGTCCGGCTTGCTTTTGTCGTTTCTGGGTTATTGAACTAGTTCCAACTTTCTGAAAAGCCAATGTGTGTTGTTTCTTGCCTGCTCGTGCTCCTTTTTGATGCATGGCCCGCAAATGTGTTCAAGGTGTGAACATTGTCATAGCGACGCATCTGCACATCTGACTCTGAAGTGCCTGTGCGTTCAGTGAGTCGACAAGTCATGGCTCCGTCAGGTTGGGCTGGCAGCACGCCGGATATGGCTCAGCTACCAGAGCTTCCGAAGGAGGTAAATCGGATCATCAAGGAGACTCGGGAGGATCACAACACCGAGAAATACTCAGAGAAAGGGCCGGTTGAAGCATAGCACTTCAGATCCATTCATGTTATGCCTTCACCAGTTCCAGCCAAGCGTGCTGGAACTTTGTCTGCTCAGCATCGTCTCATGTTCGTGTGATTTTGCGCTATACGTTTCCAACGGCTAACGGCTAGCCATTGCGTCGGTCGTCCGGCCTTTTGAGTTCGCCGAAGCTTGTGCAAATTAGGCATCGAGTGGGCCTTAGCTTTGCAATCTCTCGAAGCCTGCTTGGCGTGGTTGAAGATGCACCTTCGAAGATCATTTGCCTGCACAGGCCTAGGTTCGCGTGCAGATTCAACTAGCGAAGCTTTGTTGCCCGGTCTAATTAGGTGTTATTTGCTAAAGCTTGTTTGGCTGTGGGTCACTGTTAGCCAGCCATTTGAGTTCTCCGACGCTCCCACCTTGCCGCTGAATCGACACACGCAAGCCATGGCGCCGCAGA